TTTGATCGGCCTACATTCCTACAGTCCTAACTTCCACTTCTTCTGTCCGGGGGGCCGGGGTGGGGTGGGGGGGAAATTGGGTTGGGTTCGTTGGGGGGCCGGCTGTATTAGGTTCGTCGTGCGGCTCGAGACGAGCTTCGTCGGGGGGCTCATTGCTTGAAGGTGATGGCTTCGGGCGGCGTTGCTTCCCCCACTGATAGGTGAGGTATGTACGGGTGAGGTATGTACGGGTGAGGTATGTACGGGTGACGTTTGTACGGGTGAGGTTTGTGGAGTGTGGAGGTGGCCACTGTTGATTGTGAGTTGAGGTTGTGAGGTGCGGCTAAGAGCCGTACTTGTCCCCTGCCACAACGTTGTTCAGAGTTTCCAAGGTTATTTGTCGAAGTATGAAGTGAAGCCTCCAGTAAAGCCTCCAAGTGTGCGTGCATAGTTGTGGAGTGATGAAGCGGTGCAGTCGTGGTGCACTTAAAGGTGTGAGGAAGATGGTTCTCTGGAGTCAGTCAACAGTCAACCTCTTTAGTGCCGATTACTGCCGAAAAAGCCATTCCCTGGGATTTCAGTTGAGAATTCAGTTAGTAAACGGTTTTTCTAACTACCTATCAATCAACTGCGGGCCGTTGTCTTCCCCAACTCCATCCTCCCCTATTCCGGCAAGTGGCCCAACCCGCAAATTTCCTGCGGCGACTGTCGCGATTATATATTCCTGGAGCATCTTTCTATCTTTCGTTCTGCCTCTCTTTCCAACCCTCTGTATCGGCATCACTCGTCTTGTGGTCGTCTTCCGAACCCTCGAAAATCTAGAGAGGGAGGGTGTAGCAGCTGACCGCTGAAAAGGTCTCTCGAGTTGCTGGTGGTCGCGCTCTGCGCGTATTTATAGCACCGTACTGTGTACCGGCTGCTACAGAGGGTAAAAGTAGTGAACAAATTTAAAACTCGAAACTCCTGACAAGAATTCCCAGCTGAGATCAGCTGCTAGTGCTTTCTGGGTTCTGCAGCTGTTGGCAGGCTGCTGCCAACATGCCAGTGCTGGTGCGGGGGGGGTGTCATTTCATTTCCGACTTCCACATCTTGTCACCTGACTTAGGGCTTCACTTCCCCTTTTCTTTCTTTTTCTTTTCTGATGCATAATGTTGTTGTTTTGCCTTCTCCTTCTCCTGCTTCAAAAATCACGACCCAGGTTGACCAACACGCAGTTCTCCGAGGCGGAGCTCAAAGCGATCGTGGAGGAGGCGGGTGCGGCCGGGACCTACGTGTGCGCCCACGCCTACACCCCCGCCGCCATACAGCGCGCCGTGAAATGCGGCGTGGCGTCTATCGAACACGGCAATTATCTGGACGAGTACACAGCGCGGCTCATGAGCCATGTGGGGCTTTTTATGGGGGGAAGGTTTCGTTTGTGTACGGCTTGTGTACGGCGGAGGTATCAGAGTATGTTTGAGTTTTAAAATGGACTCTTCAGGGAAAGGTCAACATTTTGTTGTGTGTTTGTTTGATTGTGTTTGTTTGATTGTGTTTGTTTGATTGTGTTTGTTTGATTGTGTTTGTTTGATTGTGTTTGTTTGATTGTGTTTGTTTGATTGTGTTTGTTTGATTGTGTTGGTTTGATTGTGTTGGTTTGATTGTGTTGGTTTGATTGTGTTGGTTTGATTGTGTCGTGAACCTCCGTGTGTTTTTTTGCTTGCAGCGACGGGTCTTCTTGGTACCGACTCTGGTAACGTACCGCGAGATTGTACGGCATGGTACGGCGGCGGGGATGCCAGAGGTATGGAGGAGTGGGAGCGGGGGTTCGTGTGTGAGTTTTTTAGCGCGGGGGCGCGTGTTTGGAGGTTTGCACGGCATGTTTCGGGAGAGAGGGCCAAGGGCTTTACGTAACCGAGCAGGCGAACCAAGAGTGTGCAAATCCTTTGCCAACTTGTACAACCAACAACTACCAACATACCATTCTCGTCCGTCCGGCACCACCTAGTCACAAACACCGAGTTTACATGTGTAAACCGTCCACCAACTGCCTAACAAAAATATTTTTGTACCACCAAATCGCATCTTGCTCGTGACATGACGTACAGAAGCTGGTTGCCAAGGTTGGTGATGCTGTCGACGCGGTGAGTACGGCAGGGTACGGCAGGGTACGGCTGCCATGACCCAAAAAAATATTTCCCATCATGAATTATACATAGGGCCTCTCCGCACGCATTCAATAGTCCAACCACATCCTCACGCACCCAACAACCTCCTCACCTCCTCCTACAGGCCCCCCTTCACCGCCCGATGTGGCCCCTCAGGGTCTCAGGTCGCTGTCCATTGCCGACAAAGCCAAGGTGCCCATGTGCTTCGGAAGCGACTTGCTAGGGAACATGCATCCTGCACAGGTACGGCACCGTACGGCACCGCTTCGGTACGGCACAATCTCTGGGGTATCATAGGTACGATGGTGAAGTACGTGTGGCCACGGGGAATGAGGTTGGTCTGGCTGGCCGTGTCCCGGTGTCGGTGCCCTTTAATGCGCTACGTCTTCAAACCGGAGTGCGAGTGCTCTGTTCTGTGTTGCTACGCTGCATGTGCGCTTATTGGTTAGCTGTTCGAGCTCTATTTGGCTAGATATGTTGTGCGGTGTGTT